TCTGAATGGAAATCTGAGCTCGGCTTTTCGCAATTACAGAGCATCGGCTACGTTATGTCATAATTAAAGAATAAAACTCTTCGGTTGGACTCTGTCACAAAGGCTTTGTTTGGCTCTTCTATGACGTGGCACGCATTTATTCGATTTGGTTCCCTCTCACGTCGTTACGTCACAGGTTATAAAACTTGAGGCGTAACAAAAATCGATCCGATCACAGAAGGTTTTAATTATGACGTAATAATTAAAGCATCTCGCGCTTCTGTTTCGTATTGTAAACCATCAGAGACCTGCTTTAATGTGACGTGTTGGATATTATAATAAATTCTATCAAGACTCGTGACGTTAAATAAGGTTTTCGTGATTCTTGTTGATGTAAAATTCACGAAACACTTTGAGAAATTTTGTTTGTTTGTATTTTAAATATCAAGAAAGGTTAAATTGATATATCCGAATTTATTAAATTAATAATGCTTTATAACTGTATATATAAGCTATATAATGAGTAACCTGATTACGTCAACACTACATAAATATACATGAATACAGTAATCAGCCTTTAATTAGGATATTCTCCACCACGTGACTGAATGCATTACACGCTATTCTGCAACACAACCACAATTAACGAGCTATTTATGAGTTTTGCATTGATTTATTTAGCATTAATGACTCATGCATGCTTGATAGGAGGCATAAGCTATGCTGCTTTAATAAACTTAAATCGATAGGGTCTTCAACAACCAGATTTAGATAGATGATGCCGGGAGGCTGATTTTTTCAAGAAGTCATTTTTAATCGAGTGAGATAGTTTTGATGATCAATTTGTGAATGCTTCTCAATTAATAATTCGAAAGATTTTATGATGTGACGAGTGTTTCAAATGATAGACCCGCCTTAGAACATACATGCTGACGTGCCCCATTAAAATTTTGCTTGTTTTTTACATAAATATTAATGACTTTGGTTTTTATAGTTTTCAAGACCATGATGTAGTTTCTTATAAAAGGCGGATTTAATGTAAAAAATATTTAAGTGATTTTTTTATAATTATGAAGTAAGTATTTTATTTTCCCAATATTTAATCTTAAACTTAAATCTATGATAACAAAGTGTATCATTTAAGTCTCTGAGGATCGCACCTTGTACTTAAAAATCTCAGTTTTAATGCATTTATTTTTCTAAATAAAATTCAAACGATGCTACTATAGCAATAAACATGCTTCTTCAGTAATAAAAATCTTTTTATTGCATTAGTAATAAAACTAATTAGCCTTTCGCATCAAAATAATCCTTAGTTAGAGTTTATAATTATGGCAAATAATAACACGAATCGTTAAAAGGAAAGAACTGGAGATCGTTGCTTCTATCTTTTGCAGTCTACACGTCACAAAGTAAGCTTTAAAATCCCTTTTCTAACGCTTACGAGTCCTATCTAGATAAAGTATTGTTTGGCGAAGTAGCAAAGCACTCCTCGGCTTCTCTAGCGAGAAAAATCTTTTTCCTCCGAGTCACGTGATTGCAAGCTGGGGGAATCAGCAAATGCGAAAGTTGTGGCGCTGCTCCGTAATCATATGTATAAGAGAGAGAGAGAGAGTAAGAGAGATTAATTCGGATATGATAAACAGTCACTAGCGAAGATTTAGTAGGATTATGTAACTCGCTAATGAGAGAAGCTGTGATTATCGAGATAAGGGATGTTACAGAAGGTTTGCAAATTGCAATGTGATTCCCAACGTAGAATTACATTATTTTCCTTCGTTTTTTTCCGACTCTCTTTTCGGCTTTTCTTCTTTTAATACATGTAAAAGAGATTAATGGCCGAAGATCTAGGGGATTAATGCTGTTACATTTAGCGGAGTCATCGCTCGCGGGTTCTGACGCCATAAAGAGGTAGTAAAGTGCTTGAATGACTCCGCTTATACGAAATATTTACTTCTTGGGCCTAGATGTGAGGTGGTGTCGCGATTAAACCTGCCCATTTATTCCTAGAGGGTGGCACGAAACGAACAGACAGAAGAGGGATTAGATGGTAAAGTTGTGTAAGTGTATTGACGAGCAGCACTTGGTTCACAATAGAGAAGACCCCCGGAGCTACATTCGGACCTAAACGAGCATCTCCACAGTAGCTCGACACGGCATCGCAAATTGACCAGTTGGCACTGACCGAAGACCAGAGAAGGCTCTAAACGCGTTTAGAGCCGTGACAGGGTGTTGCCAGAGGCTAGACGTGGGTCAGAACTGGTAAAACTGGTCCTCTCTAGCTGATTTTATCTGAAGGCGGTACTCGCCAGAAGTCGGGGCAGATGTCTGCTTATCTTTCCAGCCAGCTGTGAACATGAATATCCTCGTCATGCCCCGAGTCTGTATTCATTTTTCCCCTTATCGCTCTATAAAAGTAAAGAAGACTATTCCACTACAGTAAAGACACCTAACCAGACCCTAAGGCGCAGACGAGGAGAAATATTAGGTTTTGCCTTCCCTTACTCTCCTTCTACAATAGAATCCAATATTAGTGAAGAGCTTCTCCATCTGCACTGGGTTTTAGACGTGATTTAGGAGATAAGAATTTTGACCCCTCGCCAATGATGGAATGTCAGCTCTGCTTCTAGTTCCTCCAAAATTTTTTCTTTCTTTCTTTTTGAACTCGGAGTAAAGATAAGTAGAACTATAATGCGTCAGTTTTTGCTGCGAAACTCTATTATCGATTTTGTCATCTTGTGCACCGTTAAGTACGAAGGGTTCCTTTTCGCCACCGCAACTTGTATTAAAAATATGAGGTTTCGGGGCTCCAAAAAATCGATAGTTCAAGGATCGTGCATGCTTTCTACTTAGAAGAAGGGCTAGTTCAGGGTCTTGTCACACGCTCGTATAGATAACAGCCTCGTTAACAACAGCCTAAAGGGAGGAGTTGGACCATAAGGCACTACAACAGGTGATTAGAATGGAACGGAGAAGGGATAGAAAACTGCACGCTTTAAATGAAAGAATCGCATTTTCTCGCAAACAAAGCTGTTATAATATTTATAAATCGAGATGTTTGGCATTTTTTTAAAAAAAATTTGTGGTGACAGATGACAGAAGTTACAGAAATATACGTCGGTGACGTATAATTTCTTTGCTGCTCCTTGGTAAGAAATGGAGATAAGTTGACGTTGGTGTCCATCTGATGTCTGATAAAGATATCAGTTTTCTACCGACTGCTTTCAATCGATGGGATACAAACAAAAATTCGATAATCTCTACCTCTACTCGAATTTTGTTAAGCGTTTGTTATTTTTTTTCCTTAGTATTCTATCTTCCTTTATTCATATCGATCCGCTTTATAATCTACTTTTAACATTTTCTATAAATGTTTGGAGTGTTTAGAAGATCAGAATTCTGATTAAATAAGAAAAGATATAACAAATTACAATTGTAACGTTTGTATATTTTCTATTTTTTGGATCGATGGTGCCGAAACTTTTCCATTGGCGGGCCAATTTGCATCTAAGTCATAGAAAGGCGGGCAATAAATATTTTGTATAATCCATATAGGCTATATAAAAAGTAGACCTAGTTCTATCATTTAGGCTATAAATGATGTGTTATATATGTTCGCGGGCAGAATTTGGCCTGGGGGATGTAGTTTGGGCACAACTGTTTAGATCATAGAGATCTATAACTAAACAATTATATTTATAAATATAGAAATAATCACGAAGGCATAGCTAGAAGATATCAATTCTATCTGCGCTAATTTAATAGTTACTCCAGATAAAGATATAGCTCTAATACTTTATTTTTGATGTCCAGATTAACAGATACATCATAGTTATGTGAACGTGATACGATATCTTTACATCTAGAAAAAGTATCCAAAAATATGTTTAGAGAGAGTCTTGTGTATCTTCGAGATATCAATTTTTATATTTTCATTATCAAGATCTAAAGAATGACAAATTAACTGACTTTATCTTTGTGTATATCTTTATATCAAATATAAATTTATCTAAGAAAATCTTTTTGTTTGTTTATTTAATTACGTTATCCGGGATATATCGGATGTACGAGTAGATATTGATTTTTTCTCGATAAAAATATGAAATTATTATGAATAAGCGATTGTTCCGCTCTGTTATCTGGGAATGTATTTGTATAGAAAGTAATTCTGTATCGTTCCAGTGATATCAAAATTTATTTATTCATCTGTAGCGGTTATCTGGTTCTTTGCTCGAGTTCTTTGCATGGATATTAGTTTGAACGTCTGGGTTATCAAACACTAAAATGATATCAACTAAAGATAATAAAACATATTTTTGATCTTTCCTTCGTTTCGATGATAATTTTTATCTCAAATAAAAACTATAATATATTTTTGTATGTATCCAAACGGAGTAAAATTTCTGATGAGATAAAGAGTGCTGTATATCTTAACAGTTATATAGGAGAAAGAAAACGTCCCTAAGAGAATGGAAACATTTCAGCACGCCTGCTGATTTTTTAAGTAGATTGCAGAAGACTATTTACGACCATCAGTGGTTGTACTTAAGATATCAGGAGAAATAGTCTTGTAAAGATTGGTTGGAAATGTGCTTAACATAATCACGATTGGTTCAGAAAGTAAAAGCAAAGTAGAGTTATCTTAGTAGATTATAATACAACTAAAAATATTTCCATAATAGCTCTTGTTTTTAGTTTTTTTCAATCAATAATCATTAGAAAAACCGCATCATTTTTCATTCAAATATATTTTATCTGATATTTAATGTATATCGCATTCGATTCTATAAATTTGGAGATTTTTTTTCGAATAATTTTTTTTAAATATATAGAATTATTTATTATTCTTAGTGTTCATTCTGTGTAGATACAGATTTTAAAAAGAAAGTAGATAAAGATCTAATCAGCTATTAATCAAATGTAACACTTACTTGATAAGGATTACTGTTTCTAAGAAAGTTCTATTTTTAACGCGGGGAAAAAAATTTATCCTAATGTAATTTCTGATTTTTTTTTTACAGTTCCTTACTACTACTTGGTGTTTTCCACTCTGGTGGATTCTCATGACGAACAGCATGGATGTGCACACCAGATCCACAAGGACATGTGGAAGTGCCACGTTCCATTTGCACGATGGCAGGACCTGACAGGGTTAGCCATGAAGGTGAGTCTCGTTGTGTACACCCTCTTAACCACAGTCCTGTCCATCAGGTACTTAGCACCAGAAGATTGCTCCTGGAAGAACGTCGATCCTTCCTCCGATGACGTGGCACTTAAGTGCAATCTGAGAACCATCAACGGCCTCTTTGACAACACCAACTTTAGCCTTATCCAACCCGACCATACCGCGCAGTTGATAATTTCTTGCGAAGACGTCCTCTTTGACAGTTCTCTAGGTAACCATTCCTTCGAACATCTTAAAGAATTAAAGACGTTACTTATATATAAGTGCAAACTGCAGGAAATATCTCCACTCGTGCTGAGCGGGTTGCATCACTTAGTTAATCTCACCATAAATACCTATAATCGAGATTGGGACGACTCCAGAGTGCTAATTATACATCCTGGAGCTTTATCTCATCTCGAAAAACTGGAGCAATTAGATCTGAGTCACAACAACATCTTTTCTCTTCCTCCATCCATCTTTTGTAATTTAAATCGTCTTATTTTTCTGAATCTCAGTTACAATGGTTTCACAGACGTGCACAGTTTGAGTCTGAAAGATTTAGGACAGTGCCAACTTAGAATAGGAGAACTAGATTTGTCATATAATTCAATTAAAGTTTTAACCAATCAAGGTTTCACTTCATTGCAACAATTGACCATTTTAAACCTTCAAAATAATCATATATCACGTGCGGAAGAATCGGCACTTGAAGGATTAAAAAATTTAGAAATATTGTATCTATCTAGCAACCAACTAGTCGCCGTGCCACCCCAGGTACTTCAACAATGTGAACGTTTGGTGGAACTTTATTTACAGAATAATTCTATTAGTGTCATCCCTCCAGGACTCTTCTCAGGTCTGCAACATTTAACGGTACTTGATTTGAGTATTAACGAGTTAGGCAGTCACTGGTTGGGTCCTGATACATTCGTGGATTTGATACGCTTGGTGAAGCTCGATATCAGCCATAACAAAATGACCTATGTTGATGCTTCAACTTTTCGTTCTCTTTATAGTTTACAAGTTTTGGAACTTCACCACAATCAGATCAGCTCAATAGGCGATAACGCCTTTGCTTCACTCTATAACTTGCACACCTTGATGCTCAGTCACAATCGCCTGACTCATATCGATATTTTCACTCTCAGCGGGTTGCACGTCCTTAATGTTCTGTATTTGGATCATAATTCTATTGAATCCGTGCATGAAGAAGCTTTCAGAAATGGTACCAATCTCATGGAGATCAATCTGGGAAAAAATCATTTAAGGAGCGTGCCATCAGCCGTCCATTCTCTACAGTTTCTAAGGAGCCTTGATATTAGTAGCAACAATATCACAAACATACGTAACTCTTCGTATCGTGGGTTGCAACATCTCTATAATTTAATCCTTCAAAATAATCGTATTGGAAATTTATCCAAAGGTTTTTTTAGTGATTTGCCCTCCCTTAGGATCCTTAATTTGGCGGACAACATGATTCATACAGTGGAGCAAGGTACGTTTGATGATGTTCCCGAACTCCACGCACTACGTCTGGATTCGAACTACGTCACGGATATCAACGGACTCTTCAGCAATCTTCATGATCTATTGATGCTTAATGTATCTGCCAATAGAATCACGTGGTTTGATTATGCCCTAGTACCTATAGGCCTTCAGTGGTTAGATATACATCAAAATTTAATTGAGGCGCTAGGAAATTATTTCGAATTGGAGAATGTACTAAAACTACGAACTCTAGATTCTTCTTTCAATAGAATTTTGGAGATCGACTCGTCTTCATTACCAAATGGCATCGAGATAGTTTACTTGAATAACAACCATATTCGAACCATCCACGCTTTTACTTTCATGGGTAAACCCAATCTGACACGCGTGGACTTGACTCGAAATCATTTACAAACATTGGAGGTTAACGCTTTTCGTTTGACGGAAGTGAGAAGCAGAAAACCTCTTCCAGAATTCTCCATTTCTGGCAATCCTTATATGTGCGACTGCAGCATGGAATGGTTGCAAAGGATTGGCTCTTTGGATGGTTCGCGTCAATATCCGAGGATGGTAGATTTAGAGGAAATCGTGTGCCAGCTTTCTTTCACGCGACGCAAAGTAGTGACGTCTCTAGTAAAGACCCATTCTTCACAATTTTTGTGTCGCTACAAGAGCCACTGCTTTGCTCTGTGCCACTGCTGCGAGTTTGATGCTTGTGATTGCGAAATGGTGTGTCCCGAACATTGCACTTGTTACTATGATCAAAGCTGGAATACAAATATAGTGGACTGCAGTAGTCGGGGACATACTTCAGTCCCTAGGAGGATTCCCATGGATGTGACGGAACTTTACTTAGATGGTAATGATATTCCTTCATTATCCAGCCATACTTTCATCGGAAGAAAAAACATGAGAGTGCTCTTTCTCAATCACAGCAACGTCCACATCATCAACAACCGCACTTTCAATGGACTGAAATCTCTTCAGATGCTTTATCTACAAAATAATAAATTGGTAATGCTTCATGGCTTCGAGTTCGAAAGGCTAGTTAACTTACGCGAATTGCATCTCTCCTATAACCATCTCACTGCCGTTTCAAACAATACTTTCGCCTCTTTAAAATCTCTGCAGATACTCTACCTAGACCATAATTTTCTGGCAGAGTTTCAAGTGTGGCAGTTGCGGTTGAATCGACAATTGCGAGACATTCGACTTTCGCACAACCCTTGGTTATGTAGGTGTGACTTCGTGGAAGATTTCTCTAACTGGTTGCAATATACTGAACAAGAGATTGCCGATTTGGAAGAACTTCAGTGCTTTTATAATGACACAGCCAGTGTGGCATTAGTGGAATTTAATACTACAACGTGTACCAACTACACCGCTACCAGCTATGTACAGACTTTACAATCGCAAGATTTCATGCCGATTGTTGTTGTAATAGCATCGATATTTGCGCTGCTTCTGTTTGTAGTGATCGTGGCCTGCGCCTATCGAAGAAGAGTTAGCAGATGGATGTACACTCGATATGGCCTACGCCTGTTTAGACAGAGGGACCAAGAGGAAAAACTGTTCGATGCTTTCCTCTCCTATAGCAAAAAAGATGAAGTGTTCGTGAGCGAGATTCTGGCTTCAGAACTGGAAAACGGTGAGCCACCATATAGATTGTGCCTTCACTATCGTGACCTGCCTTCAGGTGGTTATTTAGCAGACGCGGTGTTCGAAGCAATCGAGAGTAGTAGACGGATCATCGTACTACTTTCGGAGAACTTTCTGAGAACAGAGTGGAGCCGATATGACCCAAAATCTACGCAGCACAATATGCTCAGGACTTGTAGAAATAAATTGATCCTCATCTTTTGTGGTGTTTCTCCCAGAGACGTCGATGCCGAGCTAAAGGACTGCTGTAAATCAGGAACTTTACTTCACTGGGGGGAAAAAAGGTTTTGGGAGAAACTCCGTTACGCCATGCCTGACGTCAGTGGACGTAAAGGTGAGAGGAGCAGGCCCGATGGCCCTATAGCTGTTCATATCTAATGTACAGTAGAGTAAAGGTATTTATGCACCTTAGCTATGCAGATAGAATTTTAGCAGTTTGCTTTTAATTTTCTTTTCTTTTCTTTCCTTTTTTTGTAAATCTGGGAGAATCGATAACTCTGCCCCCCACTACACTAGTATTACTCATTCAGCAGAGGTTTTTTTTTAAGTATGGCTACGTTATTCGACGCGATAGAAGGGAAGACACATATGGTCGATGAGTGAACATGCAGATTATTTTTCACCAGAAGTCCAGCTTCAACATAGCCACATCCTTGTATATAACAGTAATGACTGTGTCATGATCATAATTGTTATCATCAGATTGGCTCTTTTGTAAGAAGAAACAGATTAAAAACTTGTAAAAAATAAAAAATATGGATCAATCAAATCAATTAATTTGTTTTTTTTTTCTAATATAAAATACTCCCAAAAATTCAAAAATAAGATCGATTTTATTTCGTATTAAAGGAAATTTTTATTGTTATCCACAAATAAGAAGTGATTATTTTAAATTTCTTAAAATACATATTTTCCTGGATAAAAGAGCTTAACTCCTTATGAAGTTAGACACTTTTATTGAGTGTAGGCGTTCAAACTTAACTGAAATTCTCCACCCAACTCACCTAGAATGAGTTTTCTTGGAGAAATTATTAGAAAAATAACAATTTTGAAACGCTTCATTCTGTATTCTGAAAGATTCTAAATTCAGCACGTTATAAACCTCAATATTCCCGCCCGATTACATTTATGAGGCACTATTCTAAAATTTAATAAAAATTCTAGTTACGTTGAATTTTGATTACTTAAAAGTTAAGATAGTTTACTTTTTCATTTTTGTTGTACAGTCTAAATGACTTTCAAAAGATTAAAATTTCTATGCTTAAATTAAGGAGAGTACAATTGTATTATCTGAAAAGTTATTGGGTTTAATTGAAATTATGACTTAAAAACAGTCAATATTTTCTATCAGTTGAATATAAATATTTAAATCAAATGAAAATACCACGCATAATGTAATTAAAAAATGATTTTTTCATAACGAAATTGCTAAAGAGAGATGGAGATCTTGAAATGTTTCTTGATTTTTGTATTATATTTTTATAAAATCGGTATATTAAATATTAATGCCTCCACCCAATGAAGCTGTGCAACATCTTGTAGTTTCATAAGATACAACAAAAATTCTGTCAAATTCATATCGAAGCAAGGAATGAGCAGCTGCCGTTAGAACAATTTCCGTTTTCCACTTACCTGATTCCGTAAACGGAAGAGGGAGGTAGTTAATGATTAAACTACGATTTAAATTTACAATCATGTCTGACGGAGCGGAAAGCAGTTTGAAGCCAATTGCTACAGACAAATGTATCCACTTCCAGAATTACAAATTCGTCACAGCTTCAGAAATAAATCCATCTTCGTCACTATAACTTATAATGCATAATAGCAGTAGCTGTGTCATTTGTTGTAGCATCACGTCGAAGATTAATAGCTAATTTATCGCTGATGTTTGCTACAGTATTCGCTATTCCGCCCAAAAATTGCTATTTGGAGATAATTATCTTCAAGATTTCCTATATAATGTGTTTAATTAATGAAATACTGAGAGCGACATTAGCCAACAAAATATTATATAAAGATATTTATAATTGAATACTCTATATAGAAGTCCAAATTATGAGTTAAAGTGAATTAATTAATATATAATTAACGTTTATAAATCCGTGATTAAGATGTTTATAATTATGTAAAAGTTGGCTTAAAAGACAAAGATACTCCCTAATTTAATTAGAGCATTTGTATGTCACACTCAAATTTACACACATTAAAAATAATTACGTTTTACGATATTTATAATTGGCTTCTTTTTAAAATAAACAAATTACTTAGCAAAAGACTACTCCGCCCAAAATAATATAGGTTAACAAAAGTGAGATGCCTGATGATTCAAATATACATCCGGTTTTAACGAGGCTAACACCTTTTAAGAAAATATTAGAATTAACAATTTCAGTAGCATCTGCCCAAAAAATTTCTACCTTCGTATTTTTCTATTATCTCCGCCCAATAGCGGATGTAAGCCCTTAAAAATTTGCGATACTTTATTCTAAACTGTTGAAAACTACGTCTAATTATGGATAAAGGGTGTTGAAAATTTAAATATTAGCTCCGCCCAATATTGTGAAGGTAGCAATTTCGGATAATTATCGAAACTTAAAAAAACATTGTTTATTCTGCCTGTATTTTTATTAATTTTAACTATCACTTAATAAAAAAAGAGTGAGCTTGTACAGTACGAGAATGCACTTTATAGAATAAACAACGACGTGTTTCTCTTTTATAAACAGATAAATAAATAAAAGAAAAATCAATAATATATATTATATATATCATTTTTAAAACCTTTATATTTTTCAATTTAATAAGTTGGGCTGAGTTTAGTCAGAGGGGTAGAATATAATTACTTTCAAAAGCTCACCTGGAGAAAGTGGGAGAGAAGGAAAAGTGCAGCAAACTATAAAGTAGCAGCAAAGCAAGTATGGGAGTTATTACAGAAGATTCCATTGGATCAGAATCGAAATTGCAAGCAATATATCCTAAAGTATCGGTCGGTTGAAAACAATAAGCATAGTAATTACTATTTTTACCTTTATCAATTTCTTCTTCTTCCTGTTGAGCTTCTATACTTATATTTATATAAAATTCTACTACTCCCAATTTCTTATTGTTCTGTTATAAAATTGCAAAACTTTTCTGCTCGTCACTCTTGCCAGTTTTCAAATGTGCTCCGTCCGATATTCGATTTGATTTTTAATTTATGTGTACAGTATAAATAGTGCATATATATAGGTATATAACATATATTCGAATTCATATTGAAAGAAAACTTGTACTGTACGTATGATTAAAAAACATGAAGATAAATGATAAAATCGATGATTTATCTAGTCAAATTATAATAATAACAAGATTTAATAAAGTTGTGATTATTATTCCATTCATTTAATAAACGTCCTAAGCATTATCCGACTTGGAAATAAGAAAATTTATCAGAACTTGTAGCAAAATCGATAGAGTACCACCCTCTAAGACGAGTTTTTTCACTCATTTATACACATATAATGTAGAGAGATTCGTACTCCGCCCAATTGATAAAATTCATGCATGTTTTTCTTGCCATAAAAATGTAATTGTATACATCCTATATTAAAAAAACAAACTAAAACATCTTGTCAGAAACATTTTGTATGTCTTCTAACAGCTAACAACTCCGCCCAATTCTCAAAGAATAATATTTATCTAAGTCCACGGCTAACCAAATTCGTTTTGCAACACTTTTTCTATCGGTTATATTTTTATGAATGTTTTCAGTGGCGTGCTTAATTGCCTCTCGGCGGAGAGCGAGGGGAATGTGTATTCTTTTTCTCGATTGTAAGACAACAGCAGCACTTCTCTCCACACATCTATTGTTATCCTACAAAAGGAGCATGTAGAGGACAAGAGGCAACAATGAAGGCTGATGTCTCTATCACATGCTGCGTGACTCCTTCCTACTCCCTAATTATCTTCCCCTACCTCATTATCAATTAAAGCAAAGCAACGAATTTAATAAGAAATGCTTCCTATCCCCATCCTAAATTATTGTATCAGGAGAAAATGATTAAAGAAGTAAAAAGATGATTGTTTACATATCCTGAACTGTAACCTGATCCGAGGAGTAATTTCATTCCTTATTATGGCAAAGTTTCGATATGTTATGCGATATACCTCAACTCTTGGTTGAAAATCAAATGTCTGATAGAAGATATCATTGAATAGCTACCTCTAATATTTGCTTAAGAAACATTCATCACTAAATGATACTCGCTATTCCGTCGAGTGATTTTAATTGATAATTTTTTTCTTACAGTTAAACCGGCTTATTTTTTAATCAATGTTATCACTCCATCGTCTTAATGTAAACGGATTCGTGTACTGTACGTTACAAATATCTTGAACAACCTTAAGACAAATTCAAAAATGCAGCATAGCAATAATGAAAGCGTACTTCCAGTTCTGCTATCTTTATTTCAATGGCAGAAAACTTTTTATCTCAGTAACAAAGCTCAATTGGCAAAAAAATCTGGAAAAACTTTACGAAACGAATCCTCTTTTAGAAGGATATCATCTATTTATCCTTTCACCAACAATGGCCATCTCTTTAAAGAGGAAAAAGTGCAGTAATGGCGAGTACAACAAAGCTGGGTTTGCTTCTATGTAAAACACGACAGCGATCAGCGCAGTTTAATGATGCATATCCACTCGGCACTAACCTAGTATTACCCAGAATGCCACTGGTGGGGGTGAAGATCGAAAAACTCAACCTTATTGTGTAGTGACTCATCCATCATTGCTTTGCTTTACTTTTTTTCATTCTATGAGGTCTAAAACAAGAGTGTTTCTATCATTGTGTACATATCCATGACAGATGTATTGAGGACTTTTGTACCTCTAATGGGCCTTCTTCGATAACGAGCTAAATTGTTTGGCCTTAAATTGCTTTGCTTTTACAATCGATACATTCAGAGCTATTCATTCGGGACAAGTTGTTCTCCCTTGATGGATTCGTTGAGTTTGGACTCTAGAACAGAAATAGAACAGTTTCATTGAAGTTGTATTATTTTGCTGAAGATGTAGAATGATCCTACTACGTTTGCATCATGTCCAAACGAAGAAGAAACCAGTTAGTTGCATTTATATGACTTCATTCACGATAATAGATGACGGGCGAGTAAAAATAGAAATCTGGCGAGTGAAATTATTAATCTAGTTGATGTTAAATATAACAGCCCATTTAGATTTTTTATGGTTGGAAAGTTTAAAGATGCCATATCACGTTTTTATTGCATCACAACGAAGAAAGAACCAGTTACTTGATTTATAATGCTTCACTCGCGTTATATTCATGACAGATGTATTGAGGACTGGTTTTTAAAACATAGAATCTGATTAGTACGATGATTGTCCAATTTTATGTTAAACAGAACATCGTCATTGAAGTTATATCATTCGCCTGAAGATTTACAAAAGGTCTATCAGATATTTTTTTTTAAATACAAAAAAAAAAATCAACTGGTTTATGATTCGCATTACCAGTCGACTGGCGAGTGCATAAAAATAGCTGGCGAGTAAATGCATTAATTAGTCTATTTATTTTTCTTTTTCGAGTTTTTTAAATGCTTTTTCGTCTTGCGTATACTAATGAGAATCCTTTTCAAATCTATAATGGGCTCTTCCAAGCCTATGAGGTTAGGCAGTAAAGAAATTCAGAAATTTTCATGAATGAACAAATCATTCATGAAAATTTCTGAAGATCTAATTAGGACTCAAACCTGAGACCCTATAAGGGCTAGCTGATACATTTACCTCTTCGACATTTACCAGTTTTTAAACAACCACAGTATATCTAAACAACCTATATCTAGCATCAGTAAATACTTTTACTGATGTTAGCTATAGGACCACATAATTTTCAGTAAAATGAGGAAAAATTTATGAAGGATGAAGAGAATTGTGTCAATATCATAATATATGTAAAGAGGGGCATAAGTAAAGTCAAAAATATTCAAGTTCGCAACTCCTGTTTGTTAAAGATAAGCTTTAACAAACCGGATGCTAATTCTGAATAAGTTTATTCTAAGAATTTTTTGCAAGTTGGTTTAAAAAATATCGCGTGGTCTGTCAAAATTGGAACCATTACATTCAAGTAGTTAAACACGTCTAGAGAATTACGAATTATTTACATATCAAATAAATGCATTAGCGAATAGGTTGTTTAGCTTTGTAATCCTTTGAGATACCTCATAATTGACAGACAAGCGAATCGAAATTGTAATCCCAACTAATTTCGCTTCATTTTTTTCCTTTCTCTCTTCTTCCTTTCCTCATCCTCTCTATCTTTACAACTAGTTCGTAAGACAGATAATGAAACTTTATGGAGTCGTATTCCGTTTGGGAGTCCTGAAAGATGGGAGGGTCGACTCCAACAAATTCATCAAGTATTAACCAATGATGTAAACTAGTAAACTTCATTTAAAGCTGCTTCATTTTCTGTGGTTCTAAATCGGTTTAAACATTTAAGTAATTAAATATTTAAGCTAAATAAAATAGTGATTTTACTATTTATTTATTTATTTTTCACTTCGATGATGTAAAAAATCCCTTTGGCAAATGAAAAAGCCTAATTTGTTTAAGTCGTCCAACTACTCGCAAGGGATGGAAAGGATTTTCAGTAGTAAACATTTTGTCTATGGTAGATAGAAGTACACGACTTGATCGAAAATTACCATTATGAATGACTCGCCAGTCGGGCGAGTAATATTTAAACAATAAACATAAAGTTTTGGTTATGATATAAAGAAAAGCGCAATTTTTAATAATGCTCATTGGGAATTGCTCGCTGGTTCAGATAATAATTATAATAATAAATATCCGAACGTAGCGTGTAGACGTTACGATATTTGTAACTGCCATTGAATGAATTCGAGTAATATTTTTAATAAATTTATGTTACTTGCAAGTAGAAATGTTCAATTACCTAAAATGATGGGAAGTGCATGTCTCTAGTATCATTGAAAATGACTCATCAGTTCTAAAGAATTCTCATAATAATAAATCTGAATATAACAAACAGAAATGATAATTTTTAATAATTGTAATCGCTCGCCAATCTGGCGAGAACGTTAATAAAACACCGAATATAACGAATAGAAATGGATATATTTATTAACTTTAATGTC